ATTCGGCCTTATCATCTTCCGGATAATCCTTCACCTTGTGCTCCATGCTTCCGCACCTGAGACAAGCACCGGACGCGCGCCAGCTCGCACATTTTACCTTCCCATTGGTCGAACCAGTGTTACGAACCGCGGGTGGTTTGCCTGATGATCCACCCTTTTTCGGCACAGCTTATACTTAGTGTAGACCCTTACCCGGATTTTACTCTCTAACTTATATTTAGTCAAATTTCGATCTGGTTTTTACTTAGCATTTTCGCAGCTAAACTTCCCAAAAACTCGGCTGGTCCGAATTCCGACCAAGTCCCGAAAAACTCGGCTTGTCGGAATTTCCAGCTAAACTTCCCAAAAATCACGGTCAGCTGATTTTAGCTCGGCAAAACTCGATTTAGCTCGGCGAAAGCTGGACTTAGCTCGGAATCATCCGACTAAACCAATTTTCTTCCGATCAAACTCATTTTCCGAACTTCCTCAGTTAACCCCCTGGTTTTTTTCCATTTCTGCTTTATATATTCAATAACTCCCTTAACCAAGTTTTCTACTTGGTAAAGTTTTTCCGAACACGGATGTTACAGGAAGCCCTCCCAAAGATCCAAGCCCTCCCAAAGATCCAGACCCGTTCTTGTATTTGGCCTTATTTTTCTTGCTGGTCTTAGAGACAACTGGAGTAAAGCCATCAGAATCCTCCACTGATTTTTAATGTATTATAAATAGTTGTATATACACTTCTATCTTTGTAAAAAAAAACAAGAAAATTGTAGTAAAATAAAAATAATTAGAAATTAAAATTTGATTATATTTAAAAGCTACAAATAGTTTTAAGTGGATCCAAAATGGCCAAAACAGATTTAACAAGCCTAGATGAACATGTCGAAAGCCTAAACATATTCAAAACTAAATAAAAATTTCAAAAGGAGTCATTTGCATTTGCATAAATTAGCATTTAGAAAAAATGTACATTGCAAAAATATTATGTTTTACATGACCATTTCACCTATATAAAACACCGGGGAATTGCTAAAAATAGGCCACAATTTGAATGCAAATGCAAAAGTATACCCCAAATTCAACCTATTGCAAAAATAAGTCAAAGGGGTAGAGAAATTACTATTATCTCCTACATGAGTAAACAAAAAAACGGAGGGTTCTATTACAATTTTAACCCTGCGAAGTCTGCAAATATTAATGAAGTCTGCAGAGCAGACTTATAAGAAGTTTGCTATATTATTAAATCTTATATTTAAAATTTAAAATTATATAAAAATAATTTAAACTGAAATTTGTTTCTATAAATCAAATGTCAACAAGTATGATCTATATAAATTATAATTTAATAAAAATAAATCATTTTAAACCATCTAAGATAAACATCAAAAGTGAATAATTTTAAAGTAGGATTGTAGACTTCTTTATAAGTCTGCTCAAACCGTAAACGAAATTAAAATAAAATATTGATTTAAACCGGAAATAATTAACCTAACCAGATATAACCGGATATTTTTGCCCTAATATATAAATGAGATTTTACCCTAAATCAGAAACTCTCCACTTTGATCCCTCTCTCCAAAAACGGCGCTGCATTTTCTTTGTTGCTGTAATCCTCTTTCTTGCTGCTCTCCATTTTTGCTATGTTCTTCGTTCACTTGAGTTCGGATCTGCAATCATCTACAACAAGGACCAAGCTTGGGACGACCACGTAAGAATCTGTCCCATTTAATTATTTTACAAATTTTTGTTGATTTCATCTTCTTCTAATGCTATTTTGGTCGTTTTCTTTGTTATTGCAGTGGATTTTCTGGGTGGGACTATTCGTTGGTGCAGCTCTTGTGGCTCTCTACCAACAGCTTGTCATCAGAGCAATTCCATTCATGACCACAAGCTGATTTCTTTCTTAGATTAATCCCTTTCTTTTTTAAGTTTTTTGTTTTTTGTTTTTTCACAGAGACTTTTTCCAGTGTATTGTTCTCATCCTTTTCCTATTTTATTTTCTTTCTCTCGGATCCATTGTCTGTATCCCATGTTCTAAAAAGCGGCCGCCAAAACCAATTAGTCGTTTAAGACTTGAAATCAAATTCTTTGAAAATTCTTTTTTTTCTTCGTTTAAGACTTGAAATCAATATATGTATGCCAGATCTATAAGATTTAGGTGTGAATAATAAGAATAATGCAAAAAACTGACTGATTATGTGAAAAAATTGGCTTGCGGCCGCGAAAAAGAGTTGCAGAACTCGAAAAGCCTAGATAGAAGACGAAAACAAAATTACAATTATGCCCTTTTTTAAAACAAAAAGAATAACCAAAATTGGAAGCATAATGGTTCAAACCCCACGTACTTTGGGCAACAAGTGGGTCTGTTTCCACCAGACCACAAGAGTTTGTTAACGTTGTACGCGTTAATAAAGTAATTTATATACTATCAAGACCGTTAACAAAAGTGGCCAATAGTTAAAGTTGAGGACAAACCATGACAGGTAAATGCAAGAATAACTGATTTTTCAAACTTATACAAATGCAAGAACAATAACAAATAAAAATAATTGAAAGGAAGTAGACTTCTAAACTTCTTTAGAAGTCTGCAAAAATAGATAAATCAAACAAGAAAATTCATTACTTTGTAATTATAACACATAACAACGTCAAACTCATATAGATGCAACACAAAAAACAAATAAACATGTCAAAACAAGAAAATCATTTTTACAAGTAACAAATATTTCAAAAATGAATTTTTTTAAAAAATAATTAGGCAGACTTCGTATGCAGTCTGCTATGATATGCTAATACGTAACAGTAGACTTCATCTACAGACTTCTTTAGAAGTCTGCTTAGATGTGCTAATTACCTTTCAAACCAAAAAAGATTCATAACTTTATAATTATAACACATAAACACACCAAACTCATACAGGTGCAAGAATCATACATAAAATGCATTTACAATTTAAAATTAAAAAAAAACATTACAAATACTTTATAAAATGCATTTTAAAAATTTAAAAAAATACAGACATCCGTTCAAAATCCGTCGGGGAAATTTCACGTTGAAGTCTTCTAAAAAAAGGGTTATTTTTGCATTTGACCAAATATTTGACTTTTCGTAGTAGACTTCTTTTTGCAGTCTGCGAGAAGAAAAGGTTATTTTTGCAATTGACCAAAAGTTTGACTTTTAGAGCAGACTTCTTAAGAAATCTGCTGACGAGTAAAAGAAGTCTGCTGACGAGTAAAAGAAGTCTGCTGACGAGTAAAAGAAGTCTGCTATAGTAAAGAAGTCTGCTTATGAAGTCTACTCTACAAAAGAAGTTTACTCAAGGTTATTTTTGCAATTGACCAAAAGGTTGACTTTCGAAGCAGACTTCTAAAAAGAAATCTGCTATGCGCAGACTTCTTTAACAGTCTGCTTGTAGGTCAGATTTGCATTTGACCGAATCTTAATTAAATAAATAGCAGAAGTCTAAAAGAAATCTTAATTGAAGTCTGCTATAAAAGTCAAAAGTTGTCAAAATCTTGGTCAATTGCAAAAATAACCTCTCGAGTCAAATTACGAAATAGCAGACTTCTTTTAGAAGTCTTCTATAAAAGTCAAAGTTCTTCAATTTTTTTGGTCAAATGCAAAAATAACATTTTCTTCTTGCAGACTGCAAAAGAAGTTTATTAATAACTTTATAAATTAATAAAATATTAAATTTCTAATATTATTAATTAATAGAGTTTTTACTGTATGTCTTTAAAAATTACAGTAGGACCTCTATAAATTAATACTTGATAAATTAGTAAACACTATAAGATAATAAATTTTGCTAGTCCCAAGTCGGACCACCAATGTAAAAATTCATCAAGTTCGATAAGATAATAATTTTTTTTAAATTCTTATTTAAAAATATGGTCCCAACAAAAACATAAATTAATAATTATATAAATTTATGCAAATATATGTAAATTTAGTATTTTAAAATATGACTAATGTGTTTGTTTTTACTTAAAATTGAAATCTAATTGGATCTAATCTATCTAATTATTATATCAGTAGTTCTTACTGTTGTTTTACGTTATCTATTCAAACTTTATGATGATTTTTTTGATGTGATAATTAATTTTCTAATCTGTAAATGTTTTTAAATGTATTGTAATGTTATCTTTAATTTTACCATCAATAATAAAGATAGTAGCCACAGTTTTTTTATATAAATTTTAAACTTATGAACATGTATATTTTTACATTGAAAATTTAATATACTATTAAAAACTATTTTATTGCGATAACTATGATTGTTAATCATAATTTGTATTAAGAGATTAATTCAAAATTTTTAATATGACATTATTTAAAAGAAAATTTTCGAAAATTATAAATGGAAAACAATTTTTTCTATAAATTATGATTACAATAAATTAATAAAATATCATAGTCCTGATATTTTTAATTTATAGAAGTTTAACTGTAGATTTCATCAGAACGACGAGCCTAAACAGACCGAATCCGCCCGTTTTCACATCTGTAATTTTGAGACTTCCTCTTAGATCGTAAAAATGTTGAGAAAAATTACAAACACTACACAACGAATTACAAAATTTCTAGTCTCTTGATTGGATCAGAACCATGATTAATTTTCCAACAACCGTTTTAAAAGCGACTGTTTAATTATGATTTCAATCGTTTGATGGACCATCATTATCGCATTTAATGTATTAATTTAAAACTAAGTGTGACGTGTGTCTCTTTATAACTTGCATTTTTATTATATAGTTTTCTTTGCTTGCATCTTATACTATTAGTTTGTTTGATTTTAAGGTAGATAGTGTCTCAAAGCTTATAGCATACGACTCCACATGTCAGTTACTTAAACCCTCAAAATAAAATTAAATACGGAAAGGTAAACCAAAAATGGACACAAGTGGAAAGTGAAGAGACGAGAGTGAGAGAGTGGACATTGATTGCTGTAGTAGAGAGCTCTCTCTTTTGGAGTGTGTGCATTCTCTTCTCCAGTACGACGACGTTTGGAAGCGATGGAGCCTAGCGCTGGCATGGTTGCCGGATCTTACCGGAGAAATGAGCTTGTTCGGATCCGACACGATTCCGATGAAGGGGTTGGTTTCGTCTTTTTCTTCTTCTTCTTCTTCTTTTTGCTTTAGGGTTTGATGGGTAGATTTATCTATATTTCTTTTGTTTGTTTCTGGACTAAAATCAGCCAGTGGATGCTCAAAGTTTGAAACCTCTTTTATGATTTTACTTCAATTGCTATGAATAAAGTTGTGTTCGTGTGGGAAAAGTTGTGTTCTCTGTCCGTAAAGGTTTGTATATCTTTTGATCATGTTCAGATCTATGAATGTATGTCCAATTCTGGCTTTTTTGTTTCATTTCCTTATCAAGACGGTGACAATGCAGGTGAATTTCAGTTATAGGTTCTAAATCTATGGATTTTAATTTTTTTTTTTGCTTAATCGTTGATTCTCAAAGACTGATGATTTCTAAGGTTCATGTTGTAAAAAAAACTATAACAAATTGAAAAGTTGCTAAAATTTGGACATGCATTCATTTGAAGATGGTTCTTGTAAAATAATGGTTTAGGATCTGTTCTTGTTTTTGTTTTCTCTAACATCTTTTTGTGTTCAAAGTGCAGCCAAAACCCATGACGAATGTGAATGGTCAGATATGTCAGATCTGTGGTGATGATGTTGGACTCACCCAAACTGGCATCGTCTTTGTTGCTTGTAATGAATGTGGCTTCCCTTTGTGTCGGCCTTGTTATGAGTATGAGAGGAAAGATGGAACTCAATGTTGCCCACAGTGCAAGACTAGATTCATACGGCACAATGGTCAGTAGTACTTCGTGTTATTGTCTTTTGGTTATCTCTGTGAAGAATGATCAGTTCTTTAGCTTTTAACACATTTGATGTTGGTACAGGGAGTCCTCGCGTTGAAGGAGATGATGAAGATGATGATGTCGATGATATCGAGAATGAGTTTAATTATACTCAGAGAAACAACAAGGCAAGACTTCCACATCTCGCTGAAGAGTTCTCTTCGTCATCTCGACATGAATCTCAACCGATTTCTGTTCTCACTCATGGCCATCCGGTAAGGACTAGCATATCATTTTCCTACTAACTTTTGTATAAGATGTTATGTTATATCTAGGCAGTCATAGCATTAACTTTGCCTAAAATTCTACACATAGGTGTCTGGGGAGATTACTACGCCGGATACACAATCTGTACAAACTACATCCGGTCAATTAGGTCTCCCTGATAGGAATGCTGCTCTGTCTCCTTGTATTGACCCACAGCTACCTGGTATATATCAACTTTTTCTTTGTGTGTTTGGCTCTCATTAGATTGTATTTCTTGTATATTTTCAAATGTTGTATACAAATATGCAGTGCCGGTAAGAATCGTGGACCCATCAAAAGACTTGAACTCGTATGGGCTTGCGAATGTTGACTGGAAAGAAAGGATCGAAGGTTGGAAGCTGAAGCAGGAGAAGAATATGGTACAGATCTCTAATAAATACCATGAAGGGAAGGGTGGAGAAATCGAAGGGACTGGATCAAACGGTGAAGAACTCCAAATGTAAGTTAAAAGTACTTGGACGCTGTTGTGTTTCTTAGTTTTAGTTTCAATCTGCATTTGGAGGTACATGATGTCATAAATCGTTTCCTTTTGGTTGTTGATGGATCTTGCACTTACAGGGTTGATGATGCTCGGCTTCCTATGAGCCGTGTGGTTCCTATCCCATCCTCACGCATGACACCTTATCGTATTGTGATAGTTCTCCGGCTCATCATTTTGGGAGTCTTCTTGCATTATCGTGTTACTCATCCCGTGAAAGATGCGTATCCCCTGTGGCTGACCTCAGTTATTTGTGAGATATGGTTTGCCTTTTCTTGGCTTCTTGATCAGTTTCCAAAATGGTATCCCATTAACAGGGAGACTTTTCTTGACAGGCTTGCTTTAAGGTTGGTTTTTATGAGTTTATGCTCTTCATCTCTTGATAATCAATTGTTACTTGTTATTATGGAAAGCTTTTCGTTCCTACCTCCAAAAGTTAGTTTTTGTAGATAAACAAGAAGGTTAAAATGAAATATATATCCTTAAATTAAGTGGGACTCCATGTTATGCAGTATTCAATGAGTCTTTGAATATCGTTTGGTTTATTTGCATCTGATTCTTGGTTTCGGTTTTGTGTATTGTAGGTATGATCGAGATGGTGAACCATCACAGCTAGCTCCCGTGGATGTGTTTGTTAGTACAGTGGACCCAATGAAAGAGCCTCCTCTAGTAACAGCAAACACTGTTCTCTCAATTCTTGCTGTGGACTACCCAGTGGATAAAGTTGCGTGTTATGTTTCCGATGATGGTTCAGCTATGCTAACTTTTGAATCTCTCTCTGAAACGGCTGAGTTCGCAAGGAAATGGGTACCTTTTTGCAAGAAGTTCAACATTGAGCCTAGAGCCCCTGAGTTCTATTTTTCCCAGAAGATAGATTACTTGAAGGACAAGATACAACCTTGTTTTGTCAAAGAGAGACGGGCAATGAAGGTCACTTGGATTACTATATCTGCAAATTTTGCTTCTCCCTTTTTTATCCACTGGACAAATTTTTAGACAAAAGAGTGAAATGTCACACTTTCGTATGTGTTACAGAGAGAGTATGAGGAGTTTAAAGTGAGGATTAATATCCTTGTCGCTAAGGCACAGAAGATGCCTGAAGATGGCTGGACAATGCAGGATGGTACTCCCTGGCCTGGTAACAACCCTAGAGACCATCCTGGGATGATTCAGGTACACTAGTACAATCTCTTCTTTTCCTTTTACGTCTCGTAGATGGGCTGATGTTCTGTTTGCTGATGCTAATTATTTCGTTTCAATTCAGGTTTTCTTAGGCCATAGTGGTGGTCTAGATACCGAAGGAAATGAGCTACCTAGGCTCATCTATGTGTCCCGTGAGAAGCGTCCTGGATTTCAGCACCACAAGAAGGCTGGAGCTATGAATGCCCTGGTTTGTCTATCCTTTGATTCTCTAATGTGCCCTCTTTTGTTCAATAGCTTCAAAGCGCTGTTTGTGTTATAAGACCGAGTAGCTGCATATCACACATAATGCTGATATGTAGGGAATTCGATTAGCAAATTTCATGCATATATGCTCTCTTATAACCTGACTTTTATTTTCTCCTGATTGAGCTTTTTGTTCATTGGACAGATCCGTGTTTCTGCTGTTCTTACCAACGGGGCATATCTTTTGAACGTGGATTGTGATCATTACTTCAACAACAGCAAGGCAGTTAAAGAAGCCATGTGTTTCATGATGGACCCTGCTATCGGAAAAAAGTGCTGCTATGTGCAGTTCCCACAACGTTTTGACGGTATTGACTTGCATGATCGATACGCCAACAGGAACATTGTCTTCTTCGATGTGAGTTTAGCTCTAGCATTCATAAGCAGCATCTTTTTTCCCCGTCTTGACCATATCTTGTCCAACTGACCTAGATGTGTATTATGTTGTGCAGATTAACTTGAAAGGGTTGGATGGTATCCAGGGTCCTGTGTATGTGGGTACTGGTTGTTGTTTCAACCGGCAGGCCCTGTATGGGTATGATCCTGTTCTAACAGAGGAAGATCTTGAGCCTAATATTATTGTGAAGAGTTGTTTTGGCTCAAGGAAGAAAGGAAAGAGTAGCAAGAAACAAAACTATGAACAAAACAGAAGCATCAAGAGAAGTGACTCCAATGCTCCGCTTTTTAATATGGAATTGGAAGATATTGACGAGGGTGTTGAAGGTTATGATGATGAGATGTCTCTTCTTGCCTCCCAGAAATGTCTGGAGAAGCGTTTTGGTCAGTCACCGGTATTTATTGCGGCTACCTTCATGGAACAAGGAGGTCTTCCACCAACAACCAACCCAGCGACTCTTCTCAAAGAGGCGATTCATGTCATAAGCTGTGGATATGAGGCCAAGACTGAATGGGGCAAAGAGGTCAGAAGTTAAAGAAGATCTTCCAAATAGCAAAACCATTCTTTTTTTCCTCTGACTGATAACTTTTTCATCTTTTGGATATTTAGATTGGGTGGATATACGGTTCTGTGACAGAAGATATTCTTACCGGGTTCAAGATGCATGCAAGGGGTTGGATATCAGTCTACTGTGTGCCTCCACGCCCTGCATTCAAGGGATCCGCACCCATCAATCTATCTGATCGTTTGAACCAAGTTCTTCGATGGGCTTTGGGATCTATCGAGATTCTTCTGAGCAGGCATTGCCCTATATGGTACGGCTATAATGGAAGGTTGAAACTTTTGGAGAGACTTGCTTATGTCAATACCACTGTCTACCCAATTACATCTATCCCACTCCTTGCCTATTGTATGCTTCCAGCGTTTTGCCTCATAACCAACAAGTTCATTATTCCTGAGGTCAGTCCTGGTCTTCATCCATTATTTGCATCCAAGAAACTGTATTTTTTTAATCTTTCATTTTTTCCTTAATTTGCAGATAAGCAGCTCTGCGAGCGTGTGGTTCATACTGCTCTTTCTGTCCATCTATGCGACGTCAGTCCTGGAGCTCAAATGGAGTGGTGTGTGCCTTGAGGACTGGTGGAGGAACGAGCAGTTTTGGGTAATCGGTGGAACATCAGCTCATCTTTTTGCAGTTTTCCAAGGTCTACTCAAAGTTCTTGCAGGGATAGACACAAACTTCACGGTCACATCAAAAGCCTCTGATGAAGATGGAGACTTTGCAGAGCTTTACATCTTCAAATGGACGTCTCTTCTCATCCCACCAACCACTATCTTACTGATGAACCTTGTCGGTATTGTGGCCGGTGTCTCCTACGCCGTGAACAGCGGGTACCAATCGTGGGGACCGCTCATGGGAAAGCTCTTTTTTGCAATGTGGGTGGTTCTTCATCTTTACCCTTTCTTGAAGGGTCTTGTGGGAAGACAAAACCGGACTCCGACCATTGTCATTGTCTGGTCCGTGCTACTTGCATCCATCTTCTCATTACTTTGGGTCCGAATCAATCCCTTTGTTACCACCACTGAGTTCGGGAGCAACAATTTCAGTGGCCAGTGAGCTGCCCATTGTCATGTTTTAACCCTATTGATAAACGAGTGCGTATATATATATGTAGGAAATCGTTCAAACCCCTTAATCTAGAGGCTATTGTCCTCCTGATTATGTGTTGGTTTAAGATGTGTTTTGTAGTGGGAAGTTAGTAAGTTACTAAAGACCCAAATGGTACCGTATGATAATGTTGAGTTGTGCCTTTCTAATGTTATTAATGCATATATTATGATCCGTTCCATAATTTACCTATCATAGGGTTCATAGGGCACATTTTGGTATCTTTGTTATGGAGATACAGATAATGTGATTCCAACTTATTTGAGCCAACAGAAGATAATGAAGTAAAGCTATGTCGGATCAAGAACACAATACAAAAACCAAAACCAAAAGAGAAAAATGAATCTTTTGGATGTTTAGTTCCACAAGAATCAATAATGTGCCCGCCCAAAATTTTGAAAACTCAAATCTCCTCAATTGTGAATGTGAAGTGTCACTCAATTGGTACAACGCTATTCTCGTGATTGTGGAATCAACCATGACTTGGTTTTGGTTCGCCAGAGCCACCGTGTTAGTTTGATCAAACCCAAAATTACCCTTGTGAGTTCTAGCAGCAGAGCTCAGGTTTCCTCGTTGCTGATGTTGTTGTTGTTCTCAACGAGTATCTTCTTGCAGGCCTCGTAACACATGAAGGAGATTCCAGCTGCAGGAACTAACTTCAAGCAGCTCGGTCCAAGCCCTCTGTACCAACCTGCAAGACCTTCTTGCTCGAGTATGCAGACAAGAGCGTGCAACATGTTCTTGTAAACTACCCTCCCACCAACTGCTCCCACCTGCATATGCTTCCGGGCAACCTCCAAGGGGAATGTTGCGGTACTTGATAACGCACCAGCTAAAGAACCAATCAAAAGCGTTTCGACGTTCCCAATGCTCTCTTTCTTCATCACTTCACGGTATGCTTTTCTCAAGGAATCATAGGTAAAGTAGTTCGTCGCTGCGTATGGAACCACTCCTATAAGGCTCGGTGCAAGACCCCTGTAAAGCTCTGTTGGGCCTTCCTCCCTTATTATTTTGACAAACGCATCCAATATGCCCTTGTATACACCTCTCTGCGAAATGGTTTCGAATACACATCAGTCGCCAATGTCTAAACTGTACCCGCACATACACTATACCATCTATTTTGGGTCGTGATTCGTGAAGAGTCATGAATAACATGTTCTAAAGTCCTCAAAATCCTACCAAAATACTACGGAAACTTTATAGAGCATACCTGAATCGTAAGGCGGGTCTTGACTAGTTCGAGAGGGTATGTCAAGAGGGTCTGGCTAACACCAGCACAGGCACCAGCGAGCAATGAAGCTGGGATGGGAATTTTCGACTCTTCTCCGAGCTTCGGAGCCAACTTCTTGTTAACCGTCTCGAATACAAAAAGCTGCACAGGGTTGACATAGGAGTTAATAACTCGAACTCGACCAAATGGTTACATACATCATTGAGTCACTAAGCATATACTAAAACCTGCATAAACTAAACAATACATACATCATTGAGTCACTAAGCATATACTAAAACCTGCATAAACTAAACAATACATACATCATTGAGTCACTAAGCATATACTTAAACCTGCATAAACTAAACTATACATACATCATTGAGTCACTAAGCATTTACTAAAACCTGCATAAACTAACTAATCCTCAAACATATTGACTTGAGCCTAACTAAACCGATTCACCAATTATCTAAAGTTCCATTAGCTATTCCACAACCAAAATCATAGATAAACAACATTTCCTACCAAAAATGAAACATATTGATTTTGAAGATTACGAAAGATGTTGAATCATTTTGATACCTCAACGGCACGAGCAGGTGCTACGCGAATGACATTGACCAAATTACCCCTGAAGAGACCTCTCCATCCTTCATGCTTCATGATATCACGGAAGACCTCAGTGGTGGACTCGCCGCCGCTTCCGACCATTAGATGAGTCCTTATGGTTTCCAAAGGAGCAACCGCCGTCCTGGAAATCGCTCCGGCCACAGCTCCGCTTAACAACCGCCGCAACGATGGATTGGAGATCTTAAGCTTCAGTGTTAACCCTCCTTTCTTCTTCTTCTTAGGCTTATCACCAATCACTTCCATCTCTTCCTCCTCCTCTTTGAAAGGCAAGTACTTTGTGCATAGATCATTGAACTGAGCAGCGAAGCTATTGTTGTCTCTGTTCGGAGGATCCTGAATCGATCCAGACCCGAATCCTGACCCGAATCCTGCTCCTAATTGATTAACACTCGCGAATAACCCTCCAACCGGGCGGTAATTCGGGTTCTTGAGGGTCCAATCGGATCCTAGATCGGAAACTGAGAAAAACCCATTACTCGTATCGTCGAACAAATTGATTCCAGTCTTGCCCATGGATACAGTTTCCTGTTCCGAAAGGTTTTGGGAATTAGTGGTGACGATTCACGAACTCCACATATCTTCGTTAAGATGACGAAAGTTGAGAATTTTGAAGAAAGGGCACGACGGGAATCGTTTGTCGTCGACGACGACGAATCGTGGGTTGTCTCTTTCGTTGAGTCCCTTTAGGGTTTTTACTGCTGCTGCTGCTGCTGCTTTGCAAGGTGATGTTTTTTTTTTTTTTTCCTCTTGGCCTTTTGAATGAGTGAGTGGTTGGAGGCGGAGGCGGAGGCTGCGGTGTAGGTATTTATATTTTTTTAATATTAGTTTTGTTTTTTCCTTGTTTCATTATCTAATTTTATTTTATTAGCTAAGATGGGAAATTCGTCAAAACTAGTCAAACGATGCCAGTATTGAAGTATTTATGTTTTTTTTCCATTCCTAAAAGATAAGTAGGTTGCAAATAGTTTTCACGTCAAAATTAAAAATATACAGTATATATAGTTTGAAAGTAGCTTGCAAAATGGTATTGATAGATTAGTATTATATGTTAAGAGTCTTATAGATAGTTATATACAGTATTAGATAGTGGAACAACTCACTATACTGAAACATAAAAGATAATGTTTTTTAATTGAAATCAACAAAAAAATATTACAATATTGAGTTTTGTAAACTTGATCGATTGAAGGAATTGGTAAAGTTGATTTCACATTGTTTAATGGTCAAAATCCTCGATAAATTATGTATGATTTTCTTCAAATTTTAAAAGATATGTTTTTAAGTTATAAAGATAGAATGCTTTCACTGAGGGATAAAAAGAAGTACATAAATATATGTAATTTCTGAGAAAAAATGTATACATAAAAATGTATGCATTAAAAAGACTATCGAAACTCTCTTTCTCGTTTTCATCATACATAAGTACGATAGAATCTTATTTTGTAATTTAAAAGAAAAAAAATAGTTCACAATATAACATCAATTTAGTCATCTAGGCACAACTACGATTTAAAAAAAAGGGCAATTATATTTATAAGATAAAAAAACTGTAGTATTGTCCCTTTAATATTTTTTCAAACTTTACCATTTTAGAATAAAATTACTCTTTATTTATAATTACAAAAATTAAAAAAAATATTTTTATAATCGAAATTTTTTTAGAAAAATCAGAAAAGGAAATACAAAGACATTTCATAACATCTTTTTTCCAAAAAAAAATTTTAAACAACTTTTTAAAAATATTTTACGAATTAGTAGAAAATGCATTCTATAAATCTATAAATTTATAGAATAGGCTATCTACTACATCATTTGTTTTCTACTAAATATATAGAATTAGTTATCTACAGTTCTTCTATGTTCTACAAAGATATAAAATCGTATTCTAAAACCTTTTCATTGTTCTACAGTTTAGTAGAATTATCTTTCTATAGTTACATCTTTGTTCTATATTTTAGTAGAATTACATTTCTACGAAAACTCTTTGTTCTATAATTATAGAATACTTATTCTACAATTCGGTTAACTGAATCTCCGAGAATCTATGATCAGATCTAGAGAATATATTTCTTTCCTTTTTGAATTATTTATTTTCTTAATTATTTTTTAATTTTTTTTTTAAACTAAATTCTGTCAACATTTTTTGCTTCTTCTCCACAACTTATCGTTTTTTTTCCTCCTTCAACCTACAAACTTTCACGTTTTCTTCATAATTTTTACGTTTTCTCCTTGTTTTTTCGTTCTAATTACCTTAAAATATGTTACGTACCTATGTAACTGAATCTCCGAAGAAAAAGAAGCTGCTAACAGATACTAACCACGAATCAGGCAGAAGTGATTCACGAATCAGGCAAGTTTTTCGATAACCATCCTAGAGTTCAAGGATTCCACAACTACAAAAACACAACAGAAAAAAGCGAACTCGATTCACAACAATTCATGAGAATCATAAATTTTAATTTATCATTTTTAATTTTTTATCAATTTTAATTCATGGGAATCATGAGAATTTTAAATTTATCAATTTTAATTTTAATTTATCAATTTTAATTTTTATCAATTTTAAATTTTAAATTTTATCAATTAATGGGAATCATACTTTTTATCAATTTTAATTTAATATGTTTAAATTTTGGATCATAAATTTTAATTATTATGGATAAATTCGAATTAAAAAGACTGAAGAGGTTAAATTATTTGTAGAAGTATTAAGGAGACAAAATTTACTATATAAGTAGTAAGAGAATAATATGTAGTTAAGGTTATTTATCCCATATTTTTAATTCTTTCAAAAAAAAAATCATAGAGAATCCACACAGATATACACTAAAAATTCAGAAGAGCTACATATATTTACCATGTGGAGTGTGGACTATTTTACTATTTGATGGTAATGATTGATATAACTAGTAGAGGGTCACATATTTGTACAGTAAAACCTCTATAAATTAATATTGTTGGGACCATGGTATTTTATTAATTTATCATGATATTAATTTATTTATAAATTAATAATTATTAATTTATAAAGAAAAATTACTTTCCGCATATAATTTTCTAAAAATTTATTTGAAATAATATTATATTTTAAAATTTTAACAAATCTCATAATATATATTATGATTAAAAATCATAACTATCACAATAAAATAATTTTTTACCATATTGGATTGTCCATATAAAAATATATATGTTCATAAGTTGAAAATTTATAAAACAATTATGGCTATTATCAGTATCATTGATGACAAAATTGAAGATAACACTACAATGCATTTAAAAATATTTACATGTAAGAAAATCAATTATCACATCAAAAAATATCATAAATTTTGAATGTATATAGTAAAACAGCAATAAAAGCTACTGATATAATAATTAGAAAGATGAGAACCAATGAGATTTTAACTTTAACTAAAAACAAACACATTAGTCATATTTTAGAATATTAAATTTACATGTATTTACATAAATTTATATAATTATTAATTTATATTTTTGTTGGGACCATGTATTTACATAAGGGTTTCAAAAAAAATTATTATCTTATTATTTTATCGATTTTTATGGATTTTTACATTGGTCCGACTTGGAACCAGCAAAATTTATTAATTTATAGTGATTATTAATTTATCGAGTATTAATTTATAGAGGTTCTACTGTATATTAATTATTATCTCAAAAATGTGCATTTATTAGATTTCTAACTCAGCTAATCAAACTAAAACCTATTATCCAATAAATTAAAGAGGTTTGAAACATAATTAAGATGAAGGGGTCTCAAGCTCCTGGTAGGCTGGTACACAAGGTATACATGAAACAAATGGAGAAATATACCTCTAAGGACTCTCAAGTGCAATATGGATGCGTCTTGCGTTTCAGGTTCAGAGAAATGTGGAGTTGGATGGGTGGCAGAGTGTTGGATAATTACAAACTTGAAAACCAAGTTATCTCTTAAGAAATTGCTTAAGAGATAATGATAGGATTTATGGATAAGATTTAGATATATTTTATATGTCTAGATAAGTTTTATATTTCCTATTTCATATAGATAAGGATTTAGCTTATACTATATATATGGGTCTTAAGAAGAGATGTTCCTCATGACTTCGACAATTTGGTTTAGTTTTGAGAGAGTTTCTAAATCAATAAGAAAAGCAGTTCTTAAATCTGAGTCTTTTAACTTTAAATTGGTATCAGAGCTTGAGTTCAAGCTAAGAAGAAACCGATCAACAAGTGCAAGACGATGGGAGACGAAGTCGTTCAAGGACAAACAAGAGCAAAGGACATAGGGTCATCGGCGATCTAATGTCCAATGTTAACTTCGACCAACTACACAGTTTGGTCAATCCGAATGAAATTTATGCTCACGGTATATGAAGTTTGGGACACCATAGATCCTGGATCAGACGATGCAAAGAAGAATGATGTAGCAATCGCTTTACTGTTCCAATTAATACCTGAGAGTTTAATCCTGCAACTGAAGGAGCCGACGACGTCAAAAGCAGTCTGTGATGGCATCAAATCACGACACCTTAGAGCTGATCGTGTAAGAGAGGCAATACAACATACGCTAATGGCCGAGTTCGATAAACTGAAGATGAATTACACAGATACAGTCGATGACTTCGCCGGAAAGATATCAGGGATAGCTTCGAAATCATTTTTCTCTAGGGCAAACCATCGAAGAGTCTGTGTTAGTAAAGAAGTTTTTAAAGGGACTCCGAAGAAACAAATTCATTCATATAGTAGCTTCACTGGAACAGGTCCTAGAGTTAAACAAAACAAGCTTTGAGGACATAGTTGGGAGGCTTAAAGCTTATGAAGAACGCATTGGGGAGGACACTCAAAACGAGGATCAAGGGAAGCTAATGTGGGCTAACTCTGATCAAAGTAACCGTGGAGGTTCTCGAGGTAAAAGCAGAGGTGGTGGAGGCAGAGGAAGAGGTTGAGGGAGATCGAGTAGCCAAAACCAAGGAGGAGCACCTGGAGAATCGAATCAGAAACAAAAGAAGGACAGGTCGAAAGTCATATGCTGGAGATGTGACAAACCTGGCCACTTCGCATCACTTTGTCCTGAGAGAAACAATAGAAACCAAGAATCAAACCTCAACGAAACAGAGGAAGAAGAAGCACTCTTCGTACACGAAGTGGTATTCTTAGACAAGGATAAAGTGATGCCGAAGACCTATGATACCAATAAGTGTGATGCAATTATGTGGTATCTAGGTAATGGTGTGAGCAACCATATAACAGGGAGTGAGAATTTTTTTCTCAAGTCTTAATGAAAACCTCAAAGGGAAGGTTAAATTCGGCGATGGCTCTTATGTTGATATAGAAGGAAAAGGAAAAATTGTTTTTGTGGGCAAGACAGGAGAAAGAAGGGCACAAAGACATATATTACATTCCTAACCTAAAGCACAATATATTGAGTCTTGGACAAGCAACAGAAAACGGCTGCGAAGTCCATATGAAAGGAGATGCTTTGACATGGAATGATCTGCACGGGAGACTACTGGTGAAGGTCACAAGGTCACCAAACCGTCTCTATAATACGCCAATGGAGATTAGCTACCCTAAGTGTTTTCATATCGAAGGTGATGATATTACATGGACTTGGCATTCACGTCTTGGACATGTAAACTTCGGAGTAGTGAAGAACATGGTTGATAAGGAGATGGTTTTAGGAATGGCACAAGTTTGACAGGGGAAGAACATCTGTGAGACTTGTCTAAAAGGAAAGCAAACGAGAAAAC